AGCATTCTCTAAGGTGGCTTCTAAGCAGGATGCGATACAGCGTGTTTAACAAAAGAAATCCAATCCTTGAAATTGACTCCCAAAACACAAGGTCTGGACGTGAGCCTTCTAGGGTTCTAAATAGGGCCAAAGCCACGGCTAAACATTGTTTAAATCATAAATTTGGTCGAGTATTTACCTCTAAACRACGGGAAGCAGGGGGGTTCTTGCCTGGTCTTGAACTCCGGTTTCTCTCTCTCAAGCTCAACGATTTCCTTCTTCTTTTCAAATGAATAGCGACCCTAACCAGAGCCCATAATTTATACTCAAACGATTTGGCCTATTAGTTGACCAAATCGGCCGAATCCCTAGTTTTAGGCTGTGAGCGGCTTCTCCACAGCMTGCAACCGGCARGTCACAGTTTCCCTTTTTGAACCAGGCACCGCCTGCTCCTCTTYTGCCTCTCTCGATCGTTGACAGCAGGCCACCCTGTTGCAGGTCTGTTGCCTATTTACAAAACAGGTCCTTCTGGTTTGGACCTGCTTACACACGACTCAGTCCCTTAACTTCCGCGAATTGACAACTTTCACCCATGTCTTGACTTCTTCCTTCACTTTTGGTCCGACTTTTAGACTTATTTCAACCTTCTATTTTTATTTAATATATATATATATATATATATATATTCTTAAAATAAAATACTAATAAGGATAACTTATTTATTCCACAATTTTTTTTTGGGTTTTACAAATAATATCTAGTATTATGACCATTTCAGATACATAGGAGTCTGACTGATTTGTTATTTTTTCATTTGACTTGTTCAACCTTTTTAGATTTGTTTTAGACATTTCATAGTTTGGTTTTTCTGTAAAAATTCATGAAAAAAGAGGTTTTAATAAAATTATGTAAAATAAAAGATATAATTGTTAATCAAAGTAAGGAAAGGGAAGATGTCCGCGACATCCACAACAGAGCTAGAATGGCAAAGGAAAGATGAAGAGAATGTGATTCAACTTTTATCTGTATACGTCTCTTCATCCGAATCAGAAGAGCCTCTGTCATCCTCCATAGAATACAACATGGAGATTGCTGCTCCATCCACGAGGAGGCATGAAGAAGAAGAAGTGGTGGCAGTCAACATAGCCGACCCAGAGCTAACATCCATTCATGTTGCTGTCCCACTTGAAGGAGTTACAATCGCTGCACTACCACCACAAAGGAACCTTCGCGCATAATCAAATCATGTGAAAGGTTTTTCACCTCCTATATAAATGGTCGTCCGATGGGGGAGAACCTCTTTTAACATATTACATATATTCATGAAAGATGATTTGATTATGCGCGAAGGTTCCTTTGTGGTGGCGGTGCAGCGATTGTAACTCCTTCAAGTGGGACAACAACAGGAATGGTTGTTAGCTTTGGGTCAGCTACGTTGACTGCCACCACTTCTTCTTCTTCACGCCTCCTTGTGGATGGAGCAGCAGTCTCCATGTTGTATTCTATGGAGGATGACAGAGGCTCTTCTGATTCGGATGAAGAGACGTATACAAATAAGAGTTGAATCACATTCTCTTCATCTTTCCTTTGCCCTTCTAGCTCTGCTGTGGATGCCGCGGACATCTTCCCTTTCTTTAGCGCTATAACACCCTAAAAGACAGATATATTTAAACTGAAAATAAATGACGAGAGCAAAAATCTTGATATAAAATTCACCTAACAAAGGTAAGAGTATAGCGTTTACAATCCGACTACTGAGAAGATAATTAACAACCTACTAATCTAGATATTTCTATAACTAGACTAAAGACGGGTGTTTCTACCATTCTCCAAAATACCGAAACATCAAAAAACGCAACACTCTAAAGTAATGAAGGCTATAACTACAAAAGAGCCTTTCACAAATCGGCGCTTCCCTCAACCCTTATTAGCCTCGCCGCTAAAGGAACCTGATTAACAAAACATATCAAGAAGAAGTGTTAGGCTTACGCCTAGTGAGTCCAAACAATAAAATATGTGCAACCATAAAGCCTTACATACAACAAAGAATGAGTATACGCACACATATAATTAATGCAATCCAATCGGTATAAACAGGACGGAAAGTCCCAGGTAAATCTCGGGAGAACCAAACATCCGAAGATGACGGGGGAGACCCGATTTACCGTTGATTATGACAGACACAAAGTAAGCCATAGATCAACGTTATAGAGCGTCACTTATCGGTATAAAACCTCGACATCGACCTAATCCAGTCTTGTAGTCGGTCGTGAACATAAGCTCTTTATCTCGAAAATTACATAATGATCACAATGCCTATTTCCGAGAAGTGAGAGGATGATTTGGAGGTTACATAATAATCACAATGCCTACCGCCAACTTATACCGTCCCTCACGCAAAATAAAATAATACAACTTTCGAAATACATAGATTTACCACATTCTGATCGTATACGTGGATAATTAACTTCAAACACACACACACACATATATATATATATATATATATATAACTTATAAGTACTAGGGTCTTCTAGTATATAATGCCTTAAATTAAACAACTTACCAAGCGGTTGTAACCACTTTTCCAAAACTTAATTCCATTTAGATCTGGCATAACCTTTTCCGTCACAACTGGTATATTCCTAGAATTAACTATAGGCTAATCATCTTATTCATATCATCATGTATTTAAATTACACATCGGGATAGGATGAACTCACCTAGAAGACTGCACAACAATGAGGCTGCCTGACGAAATAGAAGAAGAGGCAGTGCAACAGTTGCTGCTGTTTGGCTGAGGAAGGCACGGGCAGGAGACACGAAAACAGCACAGCTAGACGCTGTTTGCTGTTTGTTGGGTGATATTCGGACGAGAAACACGCAGGTAAGGCCTGCTGCGTCTGCTGTTTGCTGTCGTTTCGAAAGGGCACAGCAGCCCTTCCTCTTGCTGCTTGTTGCTGCTGTTTTGGCGAACAAGGAGAAGAAAACAGCACCCTCCAACTTGCTGCTAGCAGAAAGGGACCCTCCTCTTTGTTCTCCTCTATCCCTTTTCCCCCTTTTTCTTTCCATCCATCTCACCCTTTTCGAGAGTATCTTCCCAAAACCAACCAGAGGTTAAAGACCCTTAGGGAAGAAGAGAAATCATCAGGAAAATGGTGATTACCAAGGTGACACAGTAGGATAACCCCAAAAGACAGCTGGTACCCCCCCCCCCCCTTTTATGACACTAGGTGGGTCAATCCCCAAAGTTATCTACTAAAAGTAAGTTAATAAAAATAAAATAAAATGAAGATATATAAAAGAAAATACATAACAAAGAAAGGCTAAAAGAATACCGGGTGTTACAATCCTCCCCTCCTCGGATTTAATTTCGTCCTCGAAATTTTGCTCATTTGAAAAGGCGGGGGTAACGTCTCTTCAAATCCTCTTCCGCTTCCCATGTTACGTTTGAACCTCGGTGATGTTTCCATTGAACTTTAACCATGACAACTTCCTTGTGCCTCAACACCTTGGTATTTCTTTCCAAGATGGCTTCCGGTTCCTCAACACACCGGTTGCCTTCATCCACGTGAATCTCCGAAAGTGGAATTACACTTTCTTCTTCCGCCAAGCACTTGCGAAGGTAACAGACATGGAATGTGTTATGGATTCCCGCCATTTCCAGTGGTAGTTCTAACTTGTAAGCTTGTTGCCCTACTCTTGCCAGGACTTTAAACGGTCCAAAAAAACGGGGACTTAATTTCCCACACTTTCCAAAACGGATAACACCTTTCCAAGGGGACACTTTCAGCATTACACGGTCACCCACTTGGAATTCTACAGGTCGGCTCCTTTTGTCAGCTTAACTCTTTTGTCGATCTTGCGCCGCCTTTAAGCGTTCCCGGATACACATCACTTTGTCGGCCGTTTCCTGTACGATCTCGGGACCGGTGAATTGCTTTTCCCCTGCTTCCAATCAACACACAGGAGTCCTACACTTTCGTCCATACAGCGCCTCAAAAGGTGCCATCTTGATACTGGAATGATAACTATTATTGTAGGCGAACTCCACTAGGGGTAGGTGAGAATCCCAATTCCTGCCAAAGTCAATAACGCACGAACGCAGCATGTCCTCTAGTGTTTGAATAGTACGCTCAATCTGACCGTCGGTTTGAGGATGGTAAGTCGTGCTCAACTTCACCCTCGAACCCAATTCTCTTTGTAAACCGTTCCAGAAATGGGAGGTGAATCGGCTATCTCGATCCGATACTATTGATAGCGGTATGCCGTGCCTTGAGACTACTTCGTCGATGTATAACTTGGCAAGCTTCTCCATGGGCAACGTCTCACGCATTGCTAAGAAGTGAGCACTCTTTGTCAGCCGATCAACCACTACCCAAATCGTATCGTGGTTTCTTTGGGTCTTCGGCAGCTTAGTCACGAAGTCTATCGTAATGTGTTCCCACTTCCATTCTGGAATTTCCAAGGATTGGAGGCTACCATAAGGTCGTTGGTGCTCTGCTTTCACTTGCAAACATGTTACGCACCTCTCTACGAAACGAGCCACATCCAGCTTCATAACGGGCCACCAATATGTCAATTTCAGATCTCGGTACATCTTAGTGCTACCCGGGTGAATAGAGTATTTAGACTTGTGCGCATCTTCTAGTAACAGCTCATGATTTCCCCCAACCTTGGGTACCCATATACGACCCTGGTACAGCTTTAAGCCACGACCATCCTCCGTAAGAAGAATGTGTTGTTTCACCATAACCTCGCTCTTGAGGTTTTTCTCCAAAAGTGCTTCAGATTGTGCCTCTTTGAGCCGATCGATCAGACTGGACGCTACATCAATCCTGGTAAGCACGGCTTTCGTCCCACTACCGTACTCCTTTCGGCTCAAAGCATCCGCCACCACGTTCCCCTTACCCGGATGGTACAGCAACTCACAATCGTAGTCTTTGAGTAACTCGAGCCAACGCCGTTGCCTCATGTTTAACTCTTTTTGGTCAAAAATATACTTCAAACTCTTGTGATTAGTAAAAAGTGTGCACTTGGTACCATAAAGATAATGCCGCCAAAGCTTTAAGGCGAATACCACCGCTGCCAGCTCCAAATCGTGGGTGGGATAGTTTTTCTCATGGTCCTTGAGTTGCCTTGATGCATATGCTATCACTCTTCCTCTTTGCATCAAGACGCAACCCAACCCCATTTTTGAAGCGTCGCTGAAGACTACCAAATCTTCAGATCCTTCTGGTAAAGAGAGAATCGGGGCTTCACATAGCTTCCTTTGGAGAGTTCTAAAGGCATCTTCTTGCTTCTCTGTCCAGATAAACTTCACATTCTTCCTAGTCAACGCCGTTAAGGAAGAAGCGACCTTAGAGAAGTCTTGGATAAATCTTCTGTAATAGCCCGTCAAACCCAGGAAACTTCGAATCTCTGATGGGCTCTTTGGTGGTTCCCAGTTCATTATTGCCTCGATTTTGGATGGGTCCACCTTTACCCCGTCTCGAGTGACAACGTGACCCAAGAATTGGACCTCTTTTAGCCAAAAGTCACACTTGGAAAATTTTGCATATAATTTCTCTTTTCTTAATACTTCGAGAACTTCGCGAAGGTGCTGTTCATGATCTGACTCGTCCTTGGAGTAGATGAGTATGTTGTCAATAAACACTATTACTGACTTATCAAGGAATGGTCGGCACACTCGGTGCATCAAGTCCATGAATACTGCTGGCGCATTCGTCAAACCGAAAGGCATGACCAAGAATTCATAGTGTCCGTAACGAGTCCTAAAAGCAGTTTTCATCACATCATCTTCCTTTACCCGCACCTGGTGATACCCCGAACGAAGGTCAATCTTTGAGAAGCAACAGGCTCCTTGCAGTTGATCAAAAAGATCGTCGATTCTAGGAAGAGGATATTTGTTCTTCACGGTTGCCTTATTGAGTTCTCTGTAGTCAATACACATCCGCATGGTGCCGTCCTTCTTCTTCACAAATAAAACTGGGGCTCCCCACGGTGACGAACTCGGTCTAACAAATCCTTTCTCAATAAGGTCTTGCAATTGTGACATCAACTCTTGCATTTCGGAAGGGGCCAAACGGTAAGGGGCTCTAGCAATTGGAGTGGTTCCCAGAATAAGGTCAATGTGGAATTCCACCTGTCTCTCGGGTGGTAAACCAGGTAAGTCTTCAGGAAATACGTCGAGAAATTCATTGACCACTTTCACATCTCCAGTTCTTCTTTTCTCTAGTTTGGTATTCAACACGTATGCAATGAATGAGGGCACCCCTTAGCTAAGCACTTACGCGCCTTTGCCATGGATAAGAGTACTATATCTCCCTTCTTTCTTTCTCCATAAACCAGCAACGCGTCCCCGTCCAATAAAGGAATTCGAATCAATTTCTTAGAACATAAAATTTCCGCTTGGTTCTTAGCTAGCCAATCCATCCCGATTATTATATCGAATCCGCCTATAGCCATGGGTATAAGGTCCACTCGAAATTCCTTTCCTTCAATCCCCAAAATACAACCTCTAACAATTTCGCGCACCAAAACTTGACTACCATTTGCTATCTCTATGATTAATGCATCTTCTAGCGTACTAGGTGGCGTAAGCAAGTGTTGATAGAAAGCAGTGGACACAAAGGAACACGAAGCACCCGAATTAAAAAGTACGTGAGCAGGTACTGAGTTAACAAGGAACATACCCGACACTACATCTGTCGATGCCTTGGCTTCCTCGGTCGTCATCTGAAAGGCTCGGCCGGCTGCTCTCGGGATATTTTCTTTCCTTCCCTGGCCCCCTCCCGTCTTCATCTTCGGACAGTCACTCTTGAAGTGGCCCGGTTCTCCGCAACCGAAACAGATGGGTCCTTTAATCGGGCAATCATTTCTTGAGTGGACGGGCTTTCCACATTTATGACATTTTGGAGGAGTGGGGTTGGGGGTACACAAACCGTGGTGTTTAGTACGACATCTGGAACACCACTTTGCTTCATGTCTAGGATAGACTCCCCGATTGCTGTTGCTGGAATGATTTGATCTCTTGAAAGGTGCGTACTGATTTTCCCATTTCCTCTTTTCACCACTTGCCCCCTTCTCTTTTCTTCCTTTAGCATAGACCGTTTCCATGACCTTCGCTTCCTCAATTGCCTCCCTAAGGGTGGAGGCTCTGGAATTCCTGACCATTATCATCATGTCTGCGGGTAACCCTTTTAAATAAGCCTTCATCTTTTCTTTCTCCGTTGGGGCCACATGACCCACCAAATTCAGTTTTTCCAAGAATAGCCGTGTGTAGTGTCTTACTGACAAGTTTCCTTTCTTAAGGGTCTGGAATTCCTCTTCAATGCGGTCCATTTCTTGTTCGTTGCAATATTCCTCCAATACTTTTATGAAGCTTTAATAAGTTGTATTTACGTATAATCTACTTGCAATCTTGAGTTTTAAGTAATATGCATTAATAAACAGTACTTTATGTATAAAAAATAGTTTTTAAGAGTTTTTGTCAAATGCTTTATAATATAGTATAGATATAGATTAAATACTTATTATTAACCCCACATTAGAAAACATTTATTATGTTTAATGTCACTAATTAGAATCAATATATAATTAAA